AGTCATACAGAGGGATTTATTTGTGGATTATAGTCTTCTTATTTGTGCTGAAAAGAGTTCGATTTGTGAACTACGCAATAACTATTCACCCGTTTGACATATGAAGAAATGATAAATTTTGTGTTTCACTCCCTACGCGTTTCATGATGAAGAGGAGAGAAAGCAGCCTGTTGAAATAAGAAAGGCGTACTAGGATGGGACGTCAGCTACAACAGCTGGATACATATCTGTAGAAAGGAAGAATTAAATCCATTCTTTATACCATAGTGCTTGAAAAAATCTGATTTGCAGACTTTATTGAAGAAAAACCTGTAAATTTCCCCAATAAATTTTCTTCATACTGCGTGACCTGGTAAATAATAATTCACCCTCACTCAATGGTGGTCGATAAAGGCCTATATTAGATCGCACGGCCGGACGCATACGCACCTGCAGGCAATTTACACTCTTTGATTGGTAGATTTCAGTTTGTTGACATCAGAGTCAATCAACTGACTATTGCCACTGTCTGACTCAACAGCAGTACTAAAACCACTAATTATGAATCTGATTTCCAGGGAGAATGCACCGAGTGAAGTACTGTCCACTGTCTGTTAAAACTGTTTTTTACTCTACTAATTAACATTTACTATTTTCCAGTTTTTTCTTGATAGTGACGGCTTATGGATTTATGACCACTTTTATGCGTTTATCATTTCGACTGCTTCTATCGAACTAATAACATCGGATATTTAAAGTAAGTGCCGATTAAATGGCTTCCGAAGTAGGAGAGTAGAATCATCGGTTTGTGAATACCTTATTGGGACAAATCTTTCACATCCTTGTTAATCACGCTTTCAAAAGTGATTCGCGGAAATAAACCTAGATAAACAAAAGGTCTGATTTCCCACCATATTATATATATGACCCTTTTCTTTATTTTCTACCCAATAATCTTTCTTCAACAACAAAATTTATATCATGTTGTTCAAACTTTGGTGTTACGGCGATTCAACGAGCTAAGTCTTTAAATTAAGAGACTCATCAGTGAATTGTAACTTGAACCGATCAGTGGGAGGTTCTACGGCAGTTCTACTTCCAAGGCGTCAGGATTACAGATGCGTCGGATCCAAAGGGCAAAATACTTAACTACATTTCTTTTTCGTTCACCGGGAACCCAAATATAAAGACTTGTTAGTTGAAATAATAGAAACGACTTGTAACTCAGGTGGATGATTTGCGATTAATAGTGTTCTCTGACCAGCTCAGAGAACACTATTAATTGCAAGACCTGTTAGTTGACCGTTCCATGTAGGTTTTCTACGAACTGACCTTCTGAAGATTCCATTGGGTCGTCTTGTTAATTTCACATCAAGAATGGGGGATTTGAACTCGTTTTCCATTTCTAGGATGAATTTTATTAATGAATGGCAGTTTTTAAATATTTCTTGCAACTGATTAAGGTCGTAGCTAGTTGAGTGCCCGTCGAACGAAATCTAGTTAAATCCCTTGCCCCTTGGATCCGACGCATCCGTAGTCCTTACACCCTGGAAGCAGAACTGCACCTTCCGAAATGGATACCCACCAAGATTTATCGACAAGAATATCAGACCAAGAGTTCAGAGAAAAGAAACATTAATTATTCCAAAAAAAGAAACTTTTCATGAACCCGGATTTCAAGGAAGACTTGGCCTTTGATATCCCTAAAAGAATTTCAGCATTTTTGAGAACATTCTTCGCAGTAACACTAAGAGTGGTGTTTTCCAGTTGTCCATTGGTATGCAGAAGCCTTAAGGACATGATCTCGCATCTGACCATTTCTATGTGCATATATCAGTTCACCTGTAACTGCGGAGCCAGGTACATTGGTCGTTCGCCGCTTATCCTGCCCAAAAGGATTCGAGAACACTATCCCGCATGGCTGCAAAAAGGTAATAATGGCTATATGAGGAATGCGATCATCAAACACCTTTTCAACCCTGACCATTCCATCTTAACAAACGCCTCCATCAAAATAATCTACAGAGTCAAGAATAACCTATCAAAGGCAATACGCTTTCGTCTCTTTTGTATTACTGAAGCTTTAACCATTCAGTTAGAAAAACCAGAGTTGTGTATACAAAAGAAAATCATCCAACCACTAATACTATCATGGCAACAACTGTGTTGATTTCTACTGACTTGATGTTCTATGCCTGCTTTTCTAACACCTTATAACTCTTGTATTTCTTCACAATTCTTAAATAATTCTGTATTCTTCTTCGTTTCTATGTTCATCCAGATCAAAACCCACTCACTAACTTACCCATCTTGCTATGCAACTACAATACACTTATTCAACTTTTTTTATGAATTGACTAGCATTAACGACTAATTTTTGACAACTCATCATCACTACCCTCATACTAATCTTCATCTCCTAGTTACAATTCGATTACTGATCACAACATTTCTGAAATATTTTGATGACGTAAACACTAACCCAAACTAATTTTTATTCTTGTCTGAGAAAGTTAATGTACACACATAGAAAAATAATCATACAAAATTGCGTTTGTACAGCTAAGTGAATACATTCGCTGAAGATAAACTCTTCGTTGAACTACGTGTTTTGCTTTCATTAATATGTGAATGAGGACTATTCATGAAATCCGATTTTAAATTATTATTTAAAAAAATCAGTCCCTTTAATAAATTTGGTCAGTGTTATTAGAAGACGGAGTTTGTCTGAACAATGTGATGTGTTTGCGCAAAGCAAGCCCCTTTTATATTGTAATGCAGAGGAAATATGAAAATATAAATACTGCTCTCTTCAAGTAGACTTGGTTAAGTACTTATTACTTACTTAAGAGGTATCAGGGTATTTGTACAGAGGAAAAAAATAAATTATCGATGGATATACTCGTCGAAAACGGATATTCTTCGAAGTTTTTAAACCATTGTAAAAGTCAATAAAGTTTCGAAACCTACAGTCTGTTCCCTACCAAAGAAGGATGTCCCCATCAGATAATCTTATGATGAGGAAATTAGTAGAACTTCAAGACACACGAAATTCAGTCACCCGCCATACTTACTGTGCAGCCCGGCTTATAGTTATCAAAAAAACCAAAAACGTGCACTACTACTGTGGTGAGAGCAGGCTGCTAGTCAATTGGTAGACATTAATCTACGTCAATGTCTATGTCGCTAATATTGGCCGTGAGAAAATATGAACAAGGCTGATTCAACAATCAATCACAGCAGACTTAACGTGGACAAATATGATTCGCAGATAGATGGCTCCACTTCCCGAGAAAACCCGAAACAACCAATCAGAAGACTGCGTTTGTCTACTTGCATAAGCTATAATAATGTACAGGAAATATATAAAAATACGTGTTGATTTCCTTAATAAACGACCTGTTGCCGGCCCTAGTCTTCTGTTGTTACACTACAAGCCTCAACATTACGCATGTGATTATGTCACATCCAATACTATATGCCGATTTACGTATGCGTAGCCACATATAAATAAGAAGGAGCTATCGCGATTTGCGCATCAGGTTGAGAGGAAATATACTCAAACAGTCAGAAAAACAAATAAACTGTGAAACCTTGATAAACAAAGGTAGCAGATCACCAACTTCGTCAACGGCAAAACACGTAATTAATAATACGAATCACAAGTATGGTATCAAAACAGCTTCCGAAATTATTTATAAACAATCCTGGGTGTTTACTGAAATGTGCTTACGTGATAGCCATCCCTGTATGTAAAAAACAATTTATTATTAGCCTTAACCTACCCTGGTTATCTTTATCTAATTATACTACCAAAAGTAGTGTTAATTAATATCCTTTTCATTCTTAAATCGCTTATCGTATTGCTCACTTTAATTCGCCCATTATTTTTCAGACAAAATGACTTGACAATTAAGTGTGTGTGTGATCAGATTGTTCAAAATGTATTGGCATAGATACATTACGTTTTGCAGATAAGCTTCATCTTCTAATAACGCTATTCAAATTATTATTCATTCCTTCAATGAGTTCCGAGTGGAACATAGAGCTTCATAACCTAGCACATCTCCACCGTGTTTAGTTCTTAGCTAAATGTACTCCAATATATACAGCAAGTTGACCGCTTCACTTATTCGGGAAGTACCATAAGCCAGTGCCAACGGGTTGATTTCTGACGAAATCTCAGAACGGATACAGGGGGCTCATCTCGCATTTGCCAGTTTACGCCGTCTCTGGCGTAGATGTAATATCCAGCTATCGACCAAAGGGTGGGTGTACTGCTCATCAGTCCGCTCCGTCCTCCTCCTTCATGGCTAGCTGTGAGACCTGGCCACTGAGAGTGGAAGACATGAAAAGATTAGCTGTCCTTGATTATAGGTGCCTGCGTTCTATCTCCCGTGTGAAGTGGTACAACAGGGTGAACGATATTGAGGTTAGGCGTCGAGTTCTAGGTAAGGAGGGAAATCAATCGACGAGGCTGTGAAGTTACATAGACTGAGATGGTTAGGACATGTGTTACCTATGCCTAGTCATCGCCTTCCTCGACCGACGGGAAATGTTAGCTGATATAGGGTCAGGCTGGAAAAGAGCCAGTGGTGGTCAAACCAAAACATGGACTCGTCGGTCAATGAAATCCACAACAGTTAGTCTAAGCCAGCCACGTAGGAAGGTGTAGACTTCCTGACTGGTTGGGGTCCTCGGGACGGTAAAAATCTATGGTTGGAAACAATTGGTGACATGGCTCAAAATCGTTCTCAGTGGCTGGCGGAGATGCATCCGCTCCTTGCGACTTATGATTTCCAATGAAACTGTATTGTTCTTCGTCACTACTATTCCTTTGTCTCACAACTCTGTTTACTGTCTCTATTATGCATTTCTTCTACTTTCTTCTCTTTCTTTGTGTGCTACATGGAGTGTGGCGACTTGAACTACAAAGTTCTATGTCGAAAACAAACAGACAGACAATATATACAGCAGTCGCTTTTGAAGACTATGATAAACTATACCAGAAAAAACAAGTGAAATCATATCATTTCTTCTCCTATTTGATTAATTAAGAACCACTGCACATACATGCACGCAAACAAACAAAAGAAGGATAAAAATACTGACGACTTTGGAGCTGTTTTTCAAACGGTCAGTTTCAAGGACAATAATAATGAGCATAAGACATCTGGAAAGATCTTATAAATATACACAAATGAAGAGTGAAGATTACAAATGTGAACAAGCAGAAGAAGGGGTGAAACAACTGCAGACGAAAAAAGAAATCGCCAAAAATGAAGATTCATGAATGGAATAAAAGATAAAATAAAAAGACTTCAATAATCATTCTTCATCCACATTACTATACAAATAAAAACACTAAAGTATTTTCTTCCTATTTCAAGGGAATAATCGATACACACAAGTGAGTTTAGTATACGCCTCCACGTAGTGACAGCACTAAGTGGATTACTGAACCACCTTGAATTTTATACTCTTGAACAAGTTTTTCATCGTTCATTTGTTTACCAGAGAAAATTAGTCGTTGTTGCTGTGGTGGAATGCCTTCTTTCTCCTCAATTCTTTCTTTGATTCGTTCAACTTTGTCTGTTTGCTCAATATCGATTTCGATTTCTTTACCGGTTAGTGTTTTCACTTTGATCAACATACTATAGGTAATAAAAATCAAAAGATACATACATAGAATCATATTCTATCCTATACGGATGAAATCTTTAAGTGTTGGTTTACACGGTTTCAAGTTCGATCACGGGCTGACATCAGTTGGAGAAATACTGAAAACCAGAAAGTACAGGACAGCCGTCTCATACCACTGATGAACAGTCGCAAACTAAGACGAAACAACTGTTCAATACTCCCTAGTTCTTAGTGGTTTTTTTAACTGATATCACCTCGTATTCAAACTCGAAGGATAAAATCGCCTGATAAAATGACATACGATTGTTAGCAAAAAAAGATACGTAAACAAAATAGAACTTTGCATAAAAATACTTCTTATACGTGCTGAAATTTACAGAAGTACACAGGAAGTTGACAAAAGTCGAAAAAAGCATAAGTGGAAGAACACGAAGTGAAAAGCGAACAGGGAGCTTAAAATCCCAGTGATCACAGTTTAAAACACCTACGCTATTGTAGTCGATTTGCACTTATGTTGCAAGCAATCTCCAGAAGTTGCTTGTTAGCATTACAGACATCCAACAGGACGATCTGAAAATATATATACGACTTAATCTGAAATTCGGCAACATTATGGACAGGTGACACGTATTAATTCAATAAAGCGGTTTCACGTCATAAAGGGAATATGTTACACTTACGCCTTAGTGATCAATGTTAACAAGAAGGGAGGTCGACGCACGGATTCCTGTTGACTAACTTCTTCTGGCACTTAATACTCTAAACTTTCATCGAAACCAGTTGCTGTTCACCCTGTATGATTTACCAGTATACAAAATGGACCGATATGCATAATAAATGTCTCGACCACTTCAGTTAATGAAGACTTAAAAAATATTGAATAACTTGCTCTCTCTGTTTAACACCTTACACCCAAGGTCAACATTTCTAAAATCGACCAATACTAGAAATGATGACTGCCACCTTTCACATAGATACTACATCCGTAAATTGTGACGCCACAAACTTTTGTGCGGTACATTCGTCCTACAGGGAGATATTGCACTTTTTTGTTACCACAGATAAAGTGTACAAATAAACAGCGAAATGGGTACTTTTATCCCTAGTACAGTTCGCTTGGTAATCAGTTAACAGAGTTCATGAATATGATGCAGAAAGTGAAATAGTTAACTGTTTATTTGTTTTGTTCGCTTTCTATGTGTTAATGTACACTAATTTAGTAGTATCTGATTGCACCAAAAAGTAGGTCAGATACACTTATGGCATTGTTCGCAGTTTTCTGCAACAACTTATTGTCAGCATCATCTAGTGAGATAGAATTGTATGTGCTATGCATCAAACAAATTACGAAGGAATAAGCTCAGACAGAAACCTCTCTTTTTGAAATTACTTACTCTAAAAAAGAGATGTGGTTGCCAAATTATTGCATTCGAAACTTGGAAAATCAGTCTTTTTCAACGGTGCATAAGAAACTATATTTTGTGTAATTATAGTTTGAATGAAGGATAAACTATCGAACCTGGTTATTTTAATACTCAACTGATTTCGTGAAGACAGTAACATGGAAAGAACGACTCAATAGCTCAACCGCTTTTTAGCATTGGCCAATTTGGTTAGGACAAAGTTTATCAGGAATTTTATGCTGGTACATCTAGTATCCACAAAGCAGCAGATAGACAAGAATTCAGCTTTTTCTACGAAATACAAGATATTGCCTCAATTTTCTAGATACGGGAGCCTCCCACTGCTAATTACAGGTGAATCAGCTGCCATCAATATTTGTAAGCTTAATTTACGTGCTGAGAGAAATTCTCCAATCCCTTCACATTTCCTCCCAGAAACGTTTCTGTACTAGTCACATAGGATAACTTTCTCAGTTATCACTGCAAATTTTAGTCTAAGTTTGACAATTCATTATGAAAACAAACAATTATTTACTTCTTTTGAGACAAAAGTTTATTTGTCCCATCCTTAAATACACATAATCCCTGTAAACTTCTACAATGACTTTTACGTAGATTGCCCGAACATTACTCACTAATTCTATTAACCACGATAGTGTCGAATGTCTGTAACTAACAACTTTAATATACAATTCTGAAGTGTGATGACAATTCACCGAAAGTGGAAGCTCTCTGGATATCCATTTTCTCGTCTGTCTGTCTGTTTTCGACATAGAACTTTGCACAAATGTGCGGAAGTTCAAGTCGCCACATTCCGTGTAGCACGCGAAGCAAGAGAAGAAAGTGTAAGCTTCAGAATACGCACTACCTCCTTAATGCATTCCTCTGAACGCATATATCAATACAACGGGTACCGTAGATAAGAAGTCTGTGTATATTAAGTTGAGTTACAAAAAGGAGATTGAAGCTGCCATTCTAAAATGTCGACTTAATAAAGTATCCTCAAGTATTAAAATGAAATACTATCTTCTAGTCATATGAGGCCTCAGAATACCTGTTTCAAAACCTGATTGAGTAAACACCTAGTCATTACAATCTTGTTTGGAGCAACGATTTGTCAGTTTTGCTTTAGCCTGATGTTTCGAAGGTTTCCGTCACTCGACCATCCTTTTTTTGCAGTATATTCGGTGTTCAGCAGGACCGTTACACGAGTGATTTAAACGATAAGTTTAGATTCTTAGTTAAAACAGACAATGAAATTTTAAACTGCTGTAGCCTGAAGTTGCTTAGTTGTGTTACTTATGCCTCCTTATCGTCTACTTCAATGCGTTGCGTAACTAGAAATAGGGTCATTTGGGGGGCAAGCGGTGGACGGTTAGAGTAAGAAATAGCACTATCTGAATGTAGCTTTCAGCCACGTAGGAAAGAGTAGTTGGCATGAATTGGATACACGTGACCACGGAAGAATAAATTAGAAACTGACAGCGCCGCTGGAATTCAGTCACAACGGAATTAATGCACTTATGTTTGTTCCTCTTTAGTACAGTCTTCGCTAATTTTACTTGATTTACTTTTTGTTTTATAACACTGTGACCTCCAGATACACTAGTTCGACTATCTGTCCCTTTTCTGTACTACCTCGTTGCGCAGACAAAATGTGTAGCAACTTGCACCACTAAGGGAATGCATTAGTTCCTGTGTTAATTATGAGTGGCTGGCTTCTCATTTGGTATGACATATGACAGAGATGATATACCATTTTTCATTCTAAGAACGAGTTGCTCACAAGGTGATCAAGAAACTGCATTTCATTGCAGTCTGCCTTTTAAGATTATCTCGCCTTTGTGCTTAAGACTTCTTCCTGGTTACCAATCAGTTTTTGAGATGTTATATTACCATTTAGAACCTGTGTGAAATACCACCAGCCGTATTAACTTTAAACGATCTCTGATTGTGAGCTATCATACGGCCTTGTTTAAACAATGTTTCGACCATAAATATAAAACTTGGGCACTGTGGTGGAGTATGACTGCATTATGGATATGATTTTATTTTGATAAATCAGAGTGCTTTACAGTAATATTTACTGATGACGTTTCGAGAACAAATTATTGCTCATAATCATATCAAGACACACACAACTTTCTTGCTTCCTTGTTTTGACCAGTATAACCATTTATGACATGCAACACCCTACGACCAAAGTAGTTGGACATCCGCATAAGGTTATGAAATGTAGTAGACAAATACCTATATATTATTTATGTGAATTCTTAAACTTCCGTAGTGGTAAGACCACATTTGTTTCCGGAACAGGTGAGTTCCTAATGACTGGTCTCAATAAGTGAATATAACTGTCTCTGACCATACAGAGGAATCATGTGGCCGTAGAAAGGGAGTTTGGCTAACCTAAATCTTAGGACCCATAATAGTAATAATCATCGTTAGGGAAAAATAACTACGGAGAACCAGAATGGTCTGAAAACTATTTGACTGTGACGACAAAGACTTCAGTTTAAGAACAGCAATGTTTCTCAACCCAAGGGCCAATATAGAGATATCCTGACAAGGAAAAGAAAAATAAGCAGATTTTCCGCCAGCATAGTTGCATTTCACCGTCACAACGGACAAATATAACGATTATTTAAGGAAGTCGCCACCAACAAAATGTCAATGAAGCTAAAAGTGATACTCCCGTCAGCAAAGAATAGAGTAGACCCTCGATACTAAATACATTACTACATTATTTCTTCTATAACCGATGTAAGATTTTATTGATGGAATTCGTGATACCTTAAGTTCCTAAACGTTATTGATGTCGTCTGAAAACAGTAATCCGAAATTTCCACTCACAAAACCAAGGTTTACAGCGATTTCTGTTTGTCGGAGTGTAACCTACCGGAAAAACGATCAGAATGACACTGTGGCTACCTTTCATTGGGTAAATTATAGGCACTTAATTTATTCATTTTTGGCAGTACAAATAAATTCCGACAAACTTGATATTATGTTGCGACTAATGATTTCACCTAACCAATCAGACGCCAGCAAGTAGCCTGATGACTAGCCGTTGGAATTTAAATCCCAAACTAGTAAACTGCAAATCAACCTATTTATGATAACACTGTACTGTTATTGACTCTACTATAAGACATGAGGTAACCTAAACCAACACATTCCGAAAGTTGATGAAATTCCAATCGATAACCCTACCTCGACAGTTAATCCACAGACAGGAAATCTAAAACTAGTCTAAGGACCACGTGAGAAAGGGAGAGTCAAAATATTGAGTAAACTAACAATATGCCTTTTCACGCTCTCTTATTCTGCTGTTTAAAACAGGCCACAATAGCCTACTATTCTTATTGACTGAATCTGATGATCCCAGCATAAAAATGTGGAACACTCGGAGATTTAAAATACAAGTGCAATATTTCACTTGGGGAGTGTGGGAATTCACCATCCTTTGTTTCAAACAATAACTGGTGACCATGCTGTTTGTCTTTTTCTGGGCAAGACGCATATATGTAAACTTGGAATTACTCCCCTAAAATATGGATAGGTAAAAGATTACTTGTTTCGATGAAAGTATTTGTATCCGCTTCTTAAGGCAGCAGTCACGATAACTTTCGAATATCTATACCACTATCACGTTGGAAATCAAGACACCTTTAGATATACAATCTGACAACAGATGGATTCTCAACTCAAAGGCCAGTGATAGATGACCAAGATCAACTGGTAAGTGATGTACACCTAATGAGTTCGGAGTCCTAAAGCTGGTACAAATCTCATACACACAAATGTACGTGTAACGAACCTTTTCAGTTAGCGCGGTGAGACTTGCAGCTATCAAATCCAATTTGTTGCCTTATAATACATTGTACAAATCTAATCGCTCGTTACGTTCCTACAGAATCAATAAGCATATGGTTTAGATTTCGAATTAGTAAAAGTGAATTGTGTAGTGTGTATGTTACGCTAGCGTGGTGTCATTAATATACAAAAGAAGCTGGAAACTCTCATATATTACTGACTTGTTGTAACACACTTTGAGAAAAAATTGGGATAAAACATGCATATGTGGAGGGATAATGACTCTGTAAAAGTATTACCGGGCTACTGATGGTCATACATTAATATGCAACTATTTTATATGAGGAAGTTTGTATAATTTGAATAGTTCCGCAAAATACAAATTCCTGAATTCTGCCCTCTGTGTTTTGTTTGGATTCGTGTAATTCGGTCATCTTGAAATACTAATATTACGATTACAATAAATTACTACAAAAATGTTGTCCATTCAGGTGCATTGTGATTGATCTACAGGAAAAATTCTTCACTTTTAAGGCGAGATCCACTTCATGGCAGTCGTCGTTTTCTTATTCACTTCTGGGAAGTATTCAACGATTTCATTGCATCTGAGTGCACTACTTTTCATTTTCATGCGAATAGACAACTTTGTGAGTCACCCTGGATTGTGTTATATGATATGTTTAGAATCATATCTTTGTAAACAGCAAGTGGTTTTGTTCAGTCAATATGCTGTTTGAGTTTGAAAGTCGAGTAACTGCTGCATTGAAGTTTTTGCCATAGTTACTTGATACACGTGTGGAACAGGACAGTTTTTCAGTGTCTTCAATATGTTCGGTTGTATACAGCACTACTTTTAACGAGTGAACCTTAAGGATTGGTTTCCGCTGAAGCCTTCAGGTTTACATCTTCATCTCAGGTTTTATGAGTAGTACTTGTAACACGTTAAAATATGCACCGTATACGAATGAGAAATTTAGGTTAATATAGACGTTCGTACTTGAACAAAAGCAAGTCATACAAAATATGTGTTCATTAAAAAGCGGCATTCACAACATCAATCATGCCTACTTTACTACCTTCTCAGACTACGAGCCAGTGCTACGCCAAAACATTTTTTAAATTTTTTGTTATAGCCTGATTCCACACAGTGTTTTTGATACAAGTATGGAATTTTCAGCGTTTGATATCGGTAACCAAAATTTAGCAGGCCGACCACTGATATCGGATGTGCGTTGGCCGGGAATCGAACCCGGACCATGTGCACGACCGACGAGCGTCCTAACCACTGTGCCACCTAACCGTGGAAAAACAGCCCCATCGCTACCGAAAGGTCAGAATATGCAGAAAATAAGCTTTTTCTTCACTGGAACCAGAGAGGACGAATAACGTCGGCTGGTGAAAGCCATCGCAAAGACACTCTGTCAGTGCGCCTCCTTTGGATGAAAGCAGAAGTAAGCCAAGGGACATTGAATATACGTACTACATGAAAGGCTGACTGACAAAGTCGTTCAAACTGCCAAAGAAACGGATGTGGTATAAAAGTGCAGGATTCTGTGGCAGCTACAAGAGTGTGAAACTGTATACTCGAAAATCTACCTCGTCATCGCCAGAAAAACATAAGCGGACCAAGGGTCAGGCCATCATAGTATCATCAAAATCACTTCAGACACTGGTGACTTATTTCCGGATAATGACGAGAAAATTCAAACCAAAGGGACCGAAATTCACAATTATACAAACGCATTCACAATGGAAACGTCAGGCGGATATCACTAAAGCGTTTTTGAATAGATCAAATGCAACCAGTAGTTACATACTTCACGTTTGGAAATTTTAAAAAAATTTGTTTCTCAAACTAAACAAGAATTTCATAATATTTATTTGCTTAAAATATTAGGCAATGAAAGTTAAAAATTTACAATTGGTGTATTGCAGTTCACCAAGATGGAAACAACCACTTCTCATCCAATGCAAAACAGGGTGAAGTTTGCCCTGCAGTGTATATAGATCTAATGATAGGCATCTCTTTCACATACTGAAGGCAAAACACAGACGAAGGTTGATAAAGAGTCACGTAAAGAATTTTTTCAAATTACTTCCTGAAAGTATGCGAAAAATTTTACTTGGATTATTTTGAGCACTTACAGTAAATGAGTCAGAAAATCACAGACATAATTCTAGAAATATTCCAGTAACCTATTCAACAGTGTTCTTATGCAGTAGTGAAAAGAGTGTGTTGGGGATACAGAAGCTATGAAATAATCGTGTAATTTCGTGGAGAAGAGGCTAAAGAGGAGGTTATTGGAAATCAACCTAATAAATGGACTGTAAAACATTAGCGTTGGCGGCAATAATCACTCCTTCCCATAAGGAATTGACTAAGGCATGTAGCCAAATGCTGGAGACCATTGGGATTATTTATGGGCTCATGAAACGCTGCAACACAGTGTAAGCAATGGTTCATTATTCCTAAAAAGCAAATGTAGGTCTGCTTGATTGTTAAAAATCGTCATTATGGGGATTTTACATGCAGTTGCAACCTGGTTGCAAAGAACTGCTTGAAGAAATTCAATGAAAGCTAGCCACTGAGTCCTTCTGTGTAGCATGCAATCCTTTTTGTGGCCACTTACGCCCCAATGAAACACATTTGTATATGAGAATTTTTGCTGTACGACTAATGAGGTTATATAGAGAACAAGAAAATGCATCGATACGTCTATTTGTCAATGATATATTTCCGAGAAAAGGGAACGATTTGGCACAGTTAACCTGGCTAGTTTAAACGTGGAATACATAGGAGTCATCATGAATATGCCAAACACTACAAGGACGAATTTGTGTCCATCATGAACAATTCAGACGAAAACACTTCGTAAGACAGGCAAAGGACAGTGTCAAGGAACTTAAACCTAAGTTCTTATTGATACTAAGACGCTCCGAACCGATAAATACAATGTACTTTCTTCAACTTTAACTCCAAAACACCAGTATTGTAAGAAGGAAGTTATATTGTTTGGCAATTAAAGCGGAGAATAATACAAGTCTATAAGCAAATGTTTCATACAAAATTATTATGCGCTTTCATTCGTTTTCGTTCGTCTTCGTTGAACCTGTACACTATCGAACCATTCGTGCCTTCGAGTTGCCCACAGTGGTTCTCAGTTCCAAAAACAAACGTTCAGGGTTTACGTCCATTAACACTCCCCGGCAAAAAAGGTCCATCCCTTTTTTCATAGCGATGATAAGCTCTAACTGAACTGCCAATGCGGGAACCTGGGCCAACCGGGACTAGGCTAAAATGGAAAAGCAAGACAAAAAAACCAAAACACAACAAGCATACCGCATCACACAGACAAGTTCTCCCCGAAGCGTGGAATCTACGCTCTCTGTAGACAGTACCACCACTGATCTGGTTCACGAAGTGTTGGTTGCTTCATATCACTCTGGCACAATCCCCTCCCCGGCGTATCCAATCGCATGCACCGACTCTAACACTACTCGATTCTTTCACAAGTTTAGAAGACTAGAAACAAATTCAGAAGTACCTACAATAACATTAGAAGATGATTCACACAATGCGACAACTATAAATAAACCAAAAATTAGATGAATTGGAACCCATTCAATTTTTTAACACGAAAGTATGTACAATCAATACATCAATTGTTGTGGATTCCGCTTCGACGAGCTACCCTTAAAGAACTGAAGGACTTGCAGCAGTACACATACATTCCTTCTCACGCTGACGATCCAAGTGGAGGACGTCCAGACACAAACAAAATTAGCCAACAGATAGATGAGATGATATCAGTTCAGTATATACAATATGAACATATGTATAAAACAACAATCTAAGCACGTTGGGCTGCTTACCAATGTACTACCCCTTGAAGAATTGTAGGACTTACAGCAGTACGCCTAAAGCTCTTCTCAGGTTGACGATTCTAGGTTGCAAAATCGTCAAGTAGTTCATCCCCTGACTCTCGACTCTCAGCACGTTCCAACAGACACGCACCAACATACCACAACTTGTTCTCACCTCGACAGTCCCTAACAACCCATCACCACTACACAGTACCCTTTCTACCACTCCCGAAGGCCATCTACCTGTGGCACATTTATCTGCTCCTAAGACTATATCACCTACCTTCAAGTTTCTGCACAACGTTTTCCACTTGTCTCTGGTTTGCATTGTTAGAGCATACTCTTCTAACCATTTTTTCCGAAACATATCTTTCATGTGCCTGGCTTGTTTCCATCTTCTAATCGTAGGTATTCGTTCCCCGCTTGAGTCCTCTATGCCAGGGTTACCTCTCAATAACAATAATTTATTTGGGGTTAACACATTGAAATCTTTGGCGTCGTCCCTCACAGTTAATAGTGGCCGGTCATTTAATATTCGTTCAGCTTCACATGAAAATGTCTCCAACGTTTCGTCATTCAAACTCTGGTTTTTAATTATGGAGCTTAGAACACGCTTGGTAATTCCTATAAGTCTTTCCCATAGCCCACCTCTATGGCTGGCATGTGGTGGGTTGAAGTGCTACTCGATGTTTCTTTTCAGTACCTCTTCATGAACTCTTGTTTGAGGACCCTCAAAATACTCTTGAAGCTCGGCGTGACAGCCAACAAAATTAGTCCTCCTGTCACTGAACATCATCTTCGGTGCACCTCGGCGATTTATAAATCTACGCTATGCTAGAACGAATGAATCAGTGGTTAACGTATGGACCATCTCAATATGCAGAGCCCTCATTTTCAAACAGGTGAGTAAACAGCCATATCTTTTGCGTAGGGTTCTGCCTCTCTTCACTAAAAACGGTTCAAACAAATCCACTCCATCATACTCGAACGGATAATTCCCTTCAGAAACTTGCCACGCTGGGAGTGGTGCCATCCTCTGCTGTGCTGAGCAAGCATTCCGTAGTTTACATTCCATGCACTTATCATTTATTTTACGGACAGCAGTACCTCCTTTCACTAACCAAAATTTAAATCGGATATTTGATAGTACTTGTGAAG